TTTCAGGCATGAGTCACCATGCCTGGCCAGTCATGCCATCTGACCCCTCTGTCAGCATAGAATATGGACACTGTTTCTATTCTTTTGGTGAATACTCAAGACTGGGGGTCCCCAACCCCTGGGGCTGCAGACCAGCACTGGTCTGTGTGTGGCCTCACAGCAGGCAGCAAGCAGCAGGAGAGTGGGCGTCACCGCCGAGCTCTGCCTCCATCAGATCAGCATCGGCATTTGATTCTCATAGGAGCACAAACCCTATTGTGAACTGTGCATGCGAGGGAGCTGGGTTGTGTGCTCCTCATGAGACTCTGACTAATGCCTGATCATCTGAGGTGGAACAATTTCATCCCAAACCATCCCCCCACCCCCACCCCAGTCCATGGAAAAATTGTCTTCCATGAAACTGGTCCCTGTTACCAAAAAGGTTGGGGACCACTGCCCCAGACAATACAATATACACTTTTAATTTATTACTATTCACTAACGAGCTCATTTATACCTTCATCCTCCTTCTGGGAAATGCAATGACCTTGGAACACTTTAACATGATTTCTCCTCACTCAGTGTATATTGTTGTCATGAATTTTAATTCTACAGATTTTTTTAAACCATTTCACAGGGCTGTATACATTATTTCTTTATATTTCATTTTCCCTTCCTGCCTTCTTACGTCTTTGATCTTACATTTCTCTCTGACTTGAAGCTGATCCATAACATCTCTGTTAGTATGGGTCTGCTATTCATTATTTAGCCGAATTGCCTTTATTTTGCCTTCCGTCGTAAAGGGCATTTTATCTGCGTATAAGACTTTAAGTTGGCGGTTGTGTTCTTTTCTGTTTGAGGTTTTGTTTTTTGTTGTTTGTTTTTGTTTTTTTCTTTTCTTGGCAGTTTTCTTTTAGCACATTGAAAATGTGATTCCACCGTTTTCTACCTTTCATTGTTGTTTATGAGAAGTCAGCTGTCAGTCTACTTGCACTGTCCCTAATGACAATCTGTTTTTTTTTTCTTTTTAAGATTGTCTCCTTGTGAATAATTTGTGCAGCAGCAATAGAAAAAGAAAAAATAATTAAGGTTGTCTACTTGTCATTGACCTGATTTCCAACGTTTGTTTGATGTGGCTTTGTTTTTATTTTTCTAGCTAGTGAATGAATCACTGGGATCGCTGAGCGTATGGCTTGATGTCTTTCATCAGTTCTGGAAAATTCTCCCCCTTGCCTTTGTGTCTCCTTTCCTTCTGGCACTCCACATCGTGATTTGTTTGGTCATCTCACTGTTCCCGTTATGTCTCATCCTTCCTTCTGTATTCTCCATCTTTTTGTGTCTGTTCAAAACTCTGCATAGTTTCTTCTGACCTTACAGTTCCAGTTCATAGTTCTTCCTTCAATGCATCAAGTCTGCTCTTCAATCTATCCAGTCAGTTCTTAACTTCTGTTGGTTACTTATGTCCTATTCATTTGGTTCTTTAAATGTCTTTTGATTAAATAATTTACATTCCTGGTTAATTTTTTCATCCTAGTCTTTTTCTCTCAATTTTTTCTTTGTGATAAAATACACCTAACATAAATTTAATATCATAGCCATTTTTAAATGTACAGTTCAGTGATTAAAGTACATTCACATTAATGTCTAATCATTATCAACATCCACCCACAGAGCTCTTTTCATCTTTCAAAATTGAAACTCTAATCCCATTAAATAGTAAGTCCCCATTCCCCTCTTCCTTCATACCTGGAAACCATCTTTCCACTTTCTGTCTCTATGAATTTGACTCCTCTAGGTACCTCATATGGGCAAAATCAGATAGTATTTGTCTTTTTGATGAGCTTATTTTACTTTGCATAATGTATTTAAGGTTCAGCCATGTTGTAGCCTGTGTCAGGATTTCCTTACCCTTTTTTTTTTTTTTTTTTTTTTTTCTTAAAGACAGGGTCTCATTCTATCACCCAGGCTGGAGTGCAGTGGCATAATCTTAGCTCACTGCAACCTCCACCTCCCAGGTTCTAATGATTCTTGTGCTTCAGCCTCCTAAGTAGCTGGGATTACAAGCATGTGCTACCATGCCCAGCTAATTTTTGTATTTTTAGTAGAGATGGGTTTTTGCCATATTGGCTAGGCTGGTCTTGAACTCCTGACCTAAGGTGATCCACCTGCTTCAGCCTCCTGAAGTGCTGGGATTACATGTGTAAGCCACTGTGCCTGGCCAGGATTTCCTTATTTTTTAAGGCTAAATAATATTCCATTGTATGGACATGCTACATTTTGTTGACCCATTCCACCTCAGTGGACACTCAGGTTCCTGCCAGCTGTTAGCTGTTGTGAATAATAATGCTATGAACATGTGTGCACAAATACAAATCTCTTCAAGGCCCTGCTTTTGATTATTTTGGTTATAGACCCAGAAGTGGAATTGCTGGGTCATATGGTAATTCTATTTTTAATTTTGAGGAATCACATTGTTTTTCACAGCAGTTGTACCGTTTTCCATTCTCACCAACAGTGCACGAGGATTCCAGTTTCTCTACATCTTCACCAACACTCATTCCTTTCTTGGGTTTGTTTTTTTAGTGGCAGTGATGTTGAATGTCTTTCCATGTGCTGCGTGGTCATTTGTGTACCTTCTTGGGAGAAATGTCTATTCAAGTCCTTTCTCATTTTTGAAACAAGTTTTTTGTTATTGTTGAGTTTTAGGAGTTCTCTCTATATTCAGGACTAATCCTTTATCAGATATACAATTTGCAAATATTTTCTCTCATTCTGTTTTCAGGTTGCCTTTTTACTCTGTTAATATTTTGATGCACAAAAGTTTTTAATTTTCATGAAGTTCAATTTGTCCAGTTTTTCTTTTGTTGCCTGAGTCTTTGGTGTAATAGCAAGAAATCACTGCCAAGTCCAATGTCATGAAGCTTTTGCCCTATGGTTTCTTCTAAGAGATTTACAGTTTTAGCTCTTATGTTTAAGTTTTGGCTCTATATTGAGTTAATTTTTGTATATGGTGTGAGGTAAGGGCCCAGCTTCATTCTTTTGCATGTGGAAGTCCAGTTTTCCCAGTTTTCCCAGAACCATTTGTTGAAAAGACTATCCTCACTAATGGTCTTGGCATGCTTGTGAAAATCATTTGATTATATATTGAAGGTTTATTTCTGGGTTCTGTTTTATTCTGTCTTGATGCCAGTACCATGCTGATTACTGGAGATCTGTAGTAAGTTTGGAAATCTGGAAGTGCAAGTCCTCTAATATTGTACTTCCTTTCCAAGTTTGTTTTGACTTTTCTCCTGATAAAATTCTAAAGTTTGCATTGATCTCTTTGAACCTAGTTATTTTATGTTCTGAGTCTGATCATTCTAGTATCTGCTGTTTCTCTCATTTCTGTCTATTCCTTTTGGTGGCATCTTGCTTCCTTGGGTGGCCGATTATCTTTGATTGTGTCCTGGATTGTGTATTTGAAAAATTATTTGCAGGAATAAATTGAAGCCTAAGACGATGCCATCTTCCTTCAGAGAGGGTTTTTCTTTGCTTCTGTGTATAAGGCAGGGTGCTCCCTCTGTGTGGAAGGCAGGGGTGCTCCCTCTGTGTATAAGGCAGGGTGCTCCCTCTGTGTGGAAGGCAGGGGTGCTCCCTCTGTGTATAAGGCAGGGGTGCTCCCTCTGTGTGGAAGGCAGGGGTGCTCCCTCTGTGTATAAGGCAGGGGTGCTCCCTCTGTGTGGAAGGCAGGGGTGCTCCCTCTGTGTGGAAGGCAGGGGTGCTCCCTCTGTGTGGAAGGCAGGGGTGCTCCCTCTGTGTGGAAGGCAGGGGTGCTGCCAGTCGGGGACTATCTTAGTCCCAGTTCCAGGATTCACTCAAAGGGGAAGTAAGAGGGTCTTTCTAAAAGCAGGGTTCTGGGACATTCTTCCTGGTGGCAAATCGTGACGGTGTAGAGCTGAGCACTGAGGCCAGCAGCTCATTCACCTGGGTCCCTGCACCCTATGAGGTCAGAGCCAGTGCCCTCATCAGCTCAAGCTGCATCGCTCCTAGGCACCAGAAGTCTACTTTGCACAGTTCTGGAGGCTGGAAAGTCCAAGGTCAAGGCACTTCAGCCAGCCTCAGTGACCGGGGAGGGCCTTCTTCTGGGTCATTGATGGCATCTTCTTAGGTACCTCCAATGGTAGAAGGCAGCTCTCTGGGGCTCCTTTTATTAGGGTGTGAATCCCATTCATGGGAGCTCCACGTTTATTACCTCACCACCTCCCAAAGGCCCCACCTGCTAGCACCATCTCTTTGGGAGTTAGGGTCTCAATGTAGGAATTTGGGGAACACAAACATTCCAGCCATGGCCCCTCCTGTAAGTAGGAAAAGCAGAGCACAGAGAGGTGGGCAGTGAAACTGCCTCGTGGACGTGGCAGCGGGCGTGGGGTCAGGGTGGGGCACGTGACTCTTACTGCAGAGGTGCCGCTCAGAAGCCTCCTGGGGCCCCCCACTGCTGGCGGCCGAGCACAGCTCCCCTATTTGACCACTGCAGCCCCTCCAGTCTCCCTGGCCCTTCTGGCCCCTGGCCATCCCCACCTGCGCTCTATGCGGCACCCTCCCCTGAGCCCACCTGGTGTGCCCTGCTCACCTTTCCAGGCTTAGCTCAGATACTGGGGCTTTGCCTTGCCTCCTAGGCCCCGGCTGGAGCAGAGCTGAGCAGCAGTAGCTGCTGGGCAGGCCCAAGGCCCCACTGACCAAGGCCAGGGCGCAAAGCGGGGCTTCCCTACCCCCACAGAGGCGACTGGGGCTGGGTACGCTGCAGAGCATCGGGTACTGCACGCAGGTCAGAGCCTGTGCCCTGAGCACACAGCCTGGCAGGAGAGGGTGCAGCAGGCCTGGTGGTCCCATCTCAGGGACGGGCTGTCAGGCCACCCTGGGGATGCCCTGCCCAAGGCTGGCTTCCCCTCAGAGGATGCCTGGCAGCGGGGGCTGGGGTGGCTGCCGGGCCACCCGCCTGCGCACAGCCCCATCAGTCCCCATTCCGGCCTTCTGCCTCCCAGGTAAACAACAACGGGATCATCTCCTTCCTGAAGGAGGTTTCTCAGTTCACCCCGGTGGCCTTCCCCATCGCCAAGGACCGCTGCGTGGTGGCGGCCTTCTGGGCAGACGTGGACAACCGGCGTGCAGGCGACGTGTACTACCGGGAAGCCACCGACCCAGCCACGCTGCGCCAAGCCACAGAGGATGTCAGGCGCTACTTCCCTGAGCTCCCGGACTTCTCCGCCACCTGGGTTTTTGTTGCCACCTGGTACCGAGTGACCTTCTTTGGCGGCAGTTCTTCATCCCCCGTGAGTCCAGGCACTGGTCCTGGGGAGGGGGGATGTCTGGCTAGGATCCAGGGTCTCCCCACACCAGGACCCCACTTGTGGAGGTGGGTGGGGTACAGTCACTGGTCCATACCCAAGAGGGGAACATGTGGTCAAAACCACAGAGCCAGAGTAGAAGAGGACACAGCCCCCACCTTCCCCAATGCTCCTGGAAGCCACCTGCCTCTGGGAAACACCAAATGCCCGAAAGCAGCAGCACGCATGTCAGGGAGAGGCGTGTGGGTTGATAGAGTTAGGAGAATTTCCATTTGGAATGGCCCAGTACACAAAGGTTAAACTGGAAGGTTATTCTTCTTATTCTCTATTCCTTGATAATGCCAAACATGACAGAAATGTTGACTCAAGAATAATCGCCACATTGCAGGCTTGATGAGTTCTGGTGAGCTGATACTTGCTAATGAGGACAGCTGGCCGCTCTGGTGGCAGATGTTTCCTCAGCAGCTATGGTGGCCGCTCTGGTGGCAGACGTGTTTCCTCGGCACCTCCAGTGGCCACTGTGGTGGCAGATGTGTTTCCTCTGCAGCTGGGTGGCCGCTCTGGTGGCAGATGTGTTTCCTCTGCAGCTGCCGTGGCAGCTCTGGTGGCAGATGTGATGGCTCTGCAGCTGTGGTGATGGTTCTGGTGGCAGATGTGTTTCCTCTGCAGCTGCGATGGTGGCTCTGGTGGCAGATGTGTTTGCTCTGCAGCTGTGGTGATGGTTCTGGTGGCAGATGTGTTTCCTCTGCAGCTACAGTGGCCACTCTGGTGGCAGATGTGTTTCCCCAGCACCTTCGGTGGCAGCTCTGGTGGCAGATGTGTTTCCTCTGCAGCTACAGTGGCCACTCTGGTGGCAGATGTGTTTCCTCAGCACCTTCGGTGGCAGCTCTGGTGGCAGATATGTTTCCTCGGCACCTTCGGTGGCCGCTCTGGTGGCGGATGTGTTTCCTCGGCACCTTCAGTGGGTTCTGGTGGCGGATGTGTTTCCTCGGCACCTTCGGTGGCCGTTCTGGTGGCGGATGTGTTTCCTCGGCACCTTCGGTGGCCGCTCTGGTGGCGGATGTGTTTCCTCGGCACCTTCGGTGGCAGCTCTGGTGGCAGATGTGTTTCCTCGGCACCTTCGGTGGCAGCTCTGGTGGCAGATGTGTTTCCTCGGCACCTTCGGTGGCCGCTCTGGTGGCAGATGTGTTTCCTCGGCACCTGCGGTGGCCAGGCCTGCACTGGGTCATGACCATGCAAGACAGACAGTGACTCCCTAGCAAAGAGCTGTGGGTGCAGAGCACCCATCTGCAGAGCTGTTCGTTCATGCACTTAATAAACACCTTGGAAGGGCACCTTCTAAGCCACAGGCAAGTGCTCTAGGCACTGCGCAGGCAGCCCGGATGAAGCAGACAGGACGCATCTGCCCAGGGGGTCACCTGGCCAGGCATCAGGAAGTGCTCAGAAGCATAACCCAGCCCGGGGCACTTCCAGGAGCAGGCCCGCTGACAGAAAATGGACAGTTAGCTCTGTGCATGCCCTTATTGTGCCTCTCCAGCTCCCAGAGCCCCCATGGGCGCTGACTGGCTCTGGTCCGCCCTGTCCCTGCACGGCACCACCGGCCCATTCTGCAGCCCTCTCATCTTCGTTGGTTTTCCAACTGTTAGCACGTAGGCTTGCTTTCCCGAAGCAGAGCGCGTAGTCTCTCTAGCGTTGACTTTACATCAGTGGAATGGACACTGTATGATCGTGCATCTTCTTCAATGGCTGCAAGCTCGCCCCCCACCAGGCGGTGCGTGAATGTTTCACGTGCACCCCACGACAGGACAGCTGCAATCCCAGGGGCCTGAGGCAGGCATGGCATAGCCCAAGTCGCCTTATTCACGATCCTGTCCTGGCATGCATGTTTAGAAGGGAGATTGCTGCCTGCAGAATTCCAACTTTCCTCTCAAAAATCTACACATTCAGGCCGGGTGCAGTGGCTCACACTGGTAATCCCAGCACTTCGGGAGGCCGAGGCAGGTGGATCACCTGAGATCAGGAGTTCCAGACCAGCCTGGCCAATGTGCTGAAACCCTTCTCTGCTAAAAATACAAAAATCAGCCAGGCGTGGTGGCAGGCGCCTGTAATCCCAGCTACTCAGAAGACTGAGGCAGGAGAATCACTTGAACCCGGGAGGCAGAGGTTGCAGTGAGCCGAGATCACACCACCGCACTCCAGCCTGGGTAACAGGGAGATTCCGTCTCAAAAAAAACAAAAGCGATCTCCACATTCATACTCAGAGAAGCCACATTTAAAAGGGCCTGCTTCCTTGCACCCCAGCTGTCATGTTCCAGCTTAACCCATGACATCTTGAATTTCTGGTGGTACTGCGTTTGTTCTGATATTATCGGCTAGTTGTTTTCTGCTGTGACGTGTCTGTTCACACCTTGGACATGTTTTCTGTAATTCTTTTGGTCTCATTGATCTGTAGTTCTTGAACTAAGGATCTCGATAGTTTTACCTGCCGTATGCGTCACAGATGCATTTTTCACTTTGCTGTTCGCCGTCAGTGTGATCTTACGGCTTTTCTTAGTATCCAGAAGGCTTTCGCAGTCAAGCGTGTGATGCTCCCTTTTGGTTTCTGCTGTGAACAAACGTCACACTTGAAGGTCCTTTCGCTTTCCTGAGTTATTGATATTCGCCTGCACTTTCTGGGACTTTTCTTTCCCTTTAAAGCCTTATTGGATTGGGGATTTGTGTGTGTGGAAAGGCACGCTCTGATCTGATGCTTTTCGGGGACTCCTGCTCGTGCCCAGATCATCTCTTAAACAGTCCGGATCCTTTGCTCGAGTCTCACGTGGCATCTCTTACCTGCACTCCGACCGCCAATATTCCCGTGCAGCGGAAGTGTGTGAACCCGCAAGGCTTGACTGGGGCCCACTGCAGCACGGCTCTCCCTGGCGTCTTTGTACCTTTCCCCTCTTCCTCTGTACAGTTTCGCTCATTTCACAGATTTGTGGCTCTGGCTCAGTGAGTGCCAACACTCGGCGCTCTGCCCCTCCCCCCCCCGCGGGAGCCTGAGCCCACCCAAGGGCGGGGGACAGGGTCTGCTCCCGTTTGCTGGCCCTGCACCTGCCCCGGGTGCATCACTCACTCACCCCAGCAACAGCTGCGGGTTGTGGACGGCCTCTGATGGGTGGCAGGTGCTGGGAGACAGCAGAGGATGCGGCCACCAAGGTCCTGCCTTGGCTGCCTACGCAGCTGGAGGACACAGACACTGAGCAAGCCAGGGGCCCGGTGGAAAACGGCAGTGTACAGGGAAGGCGGACAGGGCAGGGCGTCCCTGGGCCAAGGGGAGCTCAGGGCCCTGTTCAGCCCCCTCTCCCCGCAGGTCAACACGTTCCAGACGGTGCTCATCACAGACGGCAGGCTCTCCTTCACCATCTTCAACTACGAGTCCATCACGTGGACCACAGGCACACACGCCAGCAGCGGGGGCAACGCCACCGGCCTGGGGGGCATCGCAGCGCAGGTAGGCGAGTGCAGGGGTGCTCTGTGTTCCGGACCCCTGCTCCCCACAGCCGGCATTGTCAAGAGCTGGTGAGGTAGGCAGGGACTGCCAGTAGGTAGACCCCCCAGTACAGTGCAGAGGCCAGCGAGAGGCATCCGCAGCCATCCCTGAGGCCTCTCTCACTGCCTGAAAACCAAGAGACATCCTCAGACCCAAAGGCACCTTTGCCCCGCCCGCCCCGCCCTGCAGGCCCTGATCAACAGCTGCAGCAGCAACAGAAATGGCCTCTGCTCCCTGTGCCCTGCAGTGTGGCCTAGCCGGGGACCTGAGGGACCACGCTGGCAGGAAACCCCGGGTGCTAGGGGAGTGAAACAGGACAGGGGCCGCAGGTCAGTGCTCCGAAGGCCCGAGAGTGCCTTTGGGCTGCGCACACCCCCACGGGCCTCCTGGCCACCTGCTTTCTCCTGGGGTCATACTTGCCCCTGGCCCTATGGGAGCCCCAAGAGCCCAGGGGTGAGCTGCTGGGGGACAGGGCTGGGGAGCCAGGGCCAGCCCTCTCCTTGGCCCCCAGGAACCTGGCTGGGACGTGGTGGGGGCAGGGAAACCCCAACCTCTGTAGAGCTGGGGAAGCGGCCTCCCTCACTCTGCCCCGCTCCGCCCCCAGGCTGGCTTCAACGCGGGCGACGGCCAGCGCTACTTCAGTATCCCCGGCTCGCGCACGGCGGACATGGCCGACGTGGAGACCACCACCAACGTGGGCGTGCCCGGGCGCTGGGCGTTCAGAATCGATGATGCCCAGGTGCGCGTGGGGGGCTGCGCCCATACAAGTAAGAGGACAGAGGAGCAGCTTGGGGTGGGGGCGGGCTGACGGCAAAGGAGGAGAGGTGGAGAGGGGCCGGACGCTGACCTCAGGCACGTGAAACTAAGGAGAGCCTGGCTGGTCCTGGAGCCTCAGTTTCCCCTAGAGAAGACCTCCGCACACACACTGCTCTGGGTTGGAGGGAACCCTCTGGGGACTGCAGGTTTCAGGGGAGGAGGAACCCAGGGGCGCCTGTCCCTGGGACTGTGAGGCCCGTGCTCTCCCCACGTTCCCACCCGACCTCCCTCCTGGCCTGGGGGAGGAGCAGCACGTGGTCTCTGACCCCCCGGGCCACCGGGGAGGCAGGTGCTCTTATCGCCCAGGTCCCCACTTCTGCTGGCAGGCTTGCTGCTTGCTGGGATTGCTGTCTGTTTGACACACCCGAGCATCACGTGGACGTGGGAGTTCCAGAGGTCCTTCCAGCCCAGGGCGCACAAGTGGGTGGGGTGGGTCCCCCCACAGGGGTGGGCACGTGGCCCGTGGGAGCAGACAGGCGGCAGCAGAAGCAGGTGTGTAATCCCAGCCCTGCTGCTGTGCGGCTTCCGGAGCCGGGGAGCCTCTGAAATCACTGCTTACACGTGGGGCGAAGGCAGGTGACTCATGGCTCCACCAGGGCTCCACGAAGCCCTGCCAAGGCCGGGGCCATAGGGAGACCGCGCTGGGACCTGCCCCAGACTCACCTCCCAGCTGTGATCATCTAGGCTATCCCCAGGGCAGAGGGGCCGCTTTTCTGCAACACTGAGTCCCCAGAGAACACGACAGGGGCACAGGGCAGGAGCAGCACTGTCGGGGTGCAGGTGGGGTTGCAGGCGCGACATGAGGTCAGGGCTGGGGTGTGCCGACCACGCCACGGGGGGGTGTGGGGGTTACAGGTGCACCGTGGTGTGAGGGGTGGGGGATGCCACAGGGTTGGACGTGGGGGATAGTTTGGGGGGTGTGGAAGCGCATCACGGGGTGGGTGGGGGTGGAGGGTCTGGGGGGTAGAGGTGTGCCATGAGGTGGGGAGCGCAGCGCACGGCAGGAAGATGCCTCTGAGGGCTGCAGGTGGCCCCGTGGTGAGGGAGACCCGAGGGGCCCCAGCTACCCGTGCATAGGGCGCGAAGGGACCCCAGCTTGCATCTGAGCTTAGGGAGTCGGGGCTCAAGGGACAGGGAGCCCAGGAGCTGCCACCCCCAGCATCTGAGGGACAGAGCCCTCCTGCCGCCCCAGCCATGCCCCTGCATGGCCTACCTTGTCCCAGAACCGCTGACACCACGGCTGAGCGCCAGCAGGAACAGGGAGGGAGGCGCAGTGTGCCAGGTTCTAGAACTGCCTGAGGCATCACTGGAGGGACGGAGGGGACAGGAGGGGACAGGAGGGGCGGGTGTGAGCCGCCCTGGGGAGTCCACCCCACGGGAAGCCACATTCCCAGAGGCCACAGCGGCAGAACGGCCCCTGCTCCCACCTGACGTGAAACCTGGACCCTGGCTGCTTCGCCGCGCTCACCCGGCACCCGGAGGCCGGCCGTCTGTGCGGGGGGGAGGGAGTGGCTCTCCCATGGAGTGGAGCCCGAGGCCGCTGAGGCTCCAGCCCCTCCCTGCCTGCAGCCTCCGTGTGCCTGGCCCTGCGCCCCTGCCTCAACGGCGGCAAGTGCATTGACGACTGCGTCACGGGCAACCCCTCCTACACCTGCTCCTGCCTCTCGGGCTTCACTGGGCGGAGGTGCCACCTGGGTGAGTGGTGGGCCCAGGGCAGCACCCACACTGGCTGTGCTGGGCTCAGGGAGCACTGCAGGCCCCACTAGCGGCCCTGAGCTCCTGGGGCCCCAGGTCAGGGGTCTCTGTTCCCGGGGTGTGGGTGATGTGCTTAGCGGACCACTGGGAACCAAATGCTGTGGGCCCCTGGGGTGCGCGCCGTGGGCGGGTGCAGCCACTGCCCCTCGGAGCCAGTCTTGGGCTTGCTTCTCCGACCCCCGGCCCAACCCAGGGCCCCGGAAGAAACGCCCCGATCCTGCTATGCCCCTGAGGCCCAGCCTGCCCCGTTTCAGACGTGAACGAATGCGCCTCCCAGCCCTGTCAGAACGGCGGCACCTGCGCTCACGGCATCAACAGCTTCAGCTGCCAGTGCCCGGCCGGCTTTGGGGGACCTACCTGTGAGACAGGTAAGAGGAGCCCCCTGACCTCCGGGGCCCTGCTGGGTGCAGGATGGCAGGAGACACAGCCGAATGAGGCCGAGGTCTGGGGAGGTCCGGCAGCTGTACATGCTGCAAGGTGGACAACCCGCGAAGGCCACATGTGGGAGCGGGGAGCCCGGGGAGGCCACGCACAGGGAGGGGAGGAGCCCGGGGAGGCCACGTGTGGGGAGCAGGGGAGCCCAGGGAGGCCACGTGTGGGGAGGGGAGGAGCCGGCTGCCCAGGGAAAGGCCCATATCTGGGTGGGAGGCTGGGGCCCTGAGCACAGTCACACAAGCTTCCGAGGCCATGGCATTCAGACCAGGGATGAGGCCTCAAAACAGGCCTGTGCTTAGGTCACAAACCAGGCCAGGGTCAGGGCCAGATGGGCAGCAGGGCCTGGGTGACAGCCTGTCTGCGGGTGTGGTGGGGCCGTCAGACCCCCTCAGCCCAGAACCAGCTTGAAGGGGACATGCGGTGCTTCTGGGGTCAGACGGGCCCCTGTGGGCGGGAAGGGCACAGCCACGTGGCCATGAGCACAGACGTCCGGTGGCTCCCTCGAGCTGCTCCCGGACGCTGTTTCTCTCCTGCCCCTGCCTTATGGGCAAGGGGGTCTCACCGTCCGGGCAGGGCGTGGAGTCCGCCTCCACCTTCACTGCTGCTTCGAGTTCAGAGCCCAGCCCTTCTGAAGCAGTTGGCAGAGTCAGCCTCTGCTTACCTGCCCGTCCACCAGCACCTCTTCCGGCCCCTCACCCATGCCCTTCACCCACCTGGTAAGAAAGGTGGGCCCACCTTCCTGCTCTCCATCTTACCATGGGGGTCTGCTCAGGGAGCTTTGCAAAGGGAGCCCCTAAGATCAAAGCGCTGTGACCTGCTGTTCCCCATCCGGCTTGGCCAAGCGTGCACGTCCCTGACTGTGCGACCATCGTTTACAAAGACATGTCGTAGATTGTTGAGATCCATGTGTTCAAGTAGTGACTCTGTCTATAAGCAATTCTTATCAGATATTTATGGTCGTGGGGTTATTTTTAAGTATTTCACTCCAATGTTTACAAGTTGGTATTGGAGAGAACTGTAGTTGAGTGGCAGTAAGAGATTTTGCACCTAAAAGTACATTTGCGTGAAATTCTGCAGGAGTGCAATGGAAATGAGCGAAGCACAGCTCCTACCTGCGGGATGGGCTGGTCAGTGTGTTGTAAAGATCACACACAGGTGACAACAGTGATCCCCAATGTCCCTTGCACCCCGGCCCCTGCCACTCCCCAGCCCCTGCCACTCCCCACAGCCAGAGTGTCGGAGCAAACTCCGCGCAAAGGAATTTCTCTTCGTCCAGAAACTCCTGCCCTGCTTGCCCACGTGTTCTCGATGCGAGGCGGGTGTGAGTCGGGCTTCTGTGGCGGTTGTGCCGTGGCAGGCTTCTGGCCCTTGGCAAAGGCCAGGGAGGCCAACAGGGTCTCTTTCCTCCTGCTCAGTGCCCTCCCGGTGGAATGTGGCCGGGAAGGCCTCACTACAGAAGCACCCAGGCCTATGATGAGGGTTCCCAAGGGTGACTGGGCAGAGCTTCCCAGGAACGGGCTGCTCCCTGTCTTTGCCCCAGGCTCCAGGAGCCCCTCGCCCTCTGCGATGTACAGCTTGGTGAGGTCCCCTAAGGGCTTGGGGCCCGGAGCCAGGAGCCTGGTTGAGATCTTGGCCCTGCAGCACATCAGCTGAGCCCCGAGCCATGGCCTTGTCAGTGCAGTTGTGGCCCAAGCCTTGGGTATAAGCCCCCCTGCCCCCCACAGAGGCTCCCTAGTCTCGGAATCCACCTCGGCCCCCAGAGTCCAGGAATGCCCACAGCTAGAGGCAAGGATGTGCATGCTGCTCTGCCTAGTGGAGTTGGGGTCAGGGAGACAGGATCACCACGTGCTGTCAGCCACCAAAGCGCTTTCACACCTCCCAGGTGGCCAGGCCCTCCTGTCTCTTTCCTGTGCCAAGGAGAGGGCCCCACCATTCCCCCATGACTCCAGGGAGGGACACATGCCTTGGCCATCACTCTGGTTTCTATGTTGAGTTCGTCTGGGTGTGAGTTGTCCGTAAGACAGGGAATGTAGCTCCCCCGCTTCTGGCTCTGCTGCCTGGGGGCAAAGGAGAGACCTGGGATGCCTGGGCCAGGTGCTCTGGGCTCAAGGAGGACCAGCATCCGGTGAGGAGGCAGCGCAGGGGGTGGGCTCCCCAAGCTCACGCCCACTCAGTAACCGGGAGCCAGAGTCCCTTTGCCCTGGCTGCTCCTGCACAGGCCGTTGGCTGCCCACCCAGCTGCTCACCCCAGGTGCCACTCCCACACCCTGGGCGCTGCCCACCCTTCCACGCTCAGTCACAGCCTGCATCCTCGACAACAGCTCTTGTCACAGTCTGCTTGGCATGAAAGCCTCCTGGGGAGAAACCATTGCCCACAGTGGGAGTGGGTTCCTGCACACCGCTGTCCCGCCCAGCACACACACCCCTCCCTCCATCCCAACTTTGCTGAATTAGACCCAGTTCAGACGGCGCTTCAGGTGGCCAGTCCGGGCTGTCTGGCCAGGCCTCTTCCTTCACTGCCGCCCCTCAGGAACCTGCCTGCCAGGCCCCCCGCCCTGCAGGCCAGCCGGGAGTGGGGCTCAGTGTATGTCCCAGGGGTTTCTGTCCCATCAGGTGACCATAGCTGGCAGTCCAATGTCCCGTCTACACCTCTTCACTCTAGCCCAGTCCCCCTGTGACACCAAAGAGTGTCACAATGGTGGCCAGTGCCGGGTGGAGAGGGGCTCTGCGGTGTGCGTGTGCCAGGCTGGATATACCGGAGCCGCCTGCGAGACAGGTGAGTGGCTGCCCTCGGGTTGGAGGGGGCTCCTGCCGGAGACCAGGTGCTGGGCACCGGGTGGCCATGGCCCGGCTCAAGCCATGCCCCCACCTCTGCTGCCCCTCAGATGTGGATGACTGCAGCTCTGAGCCCTGCCTGAATGGAGGCTCCTGTGTCGACCTCGTGGGGAATTACACCTGCTTGTGCGCAGAGCCCTTCACGGGACCTCACTGCGAGACAGGTAACTGGCCAGGTGCCTGCTGCCCACCATGGGCAGTGGCGGCCTTGTGTGGTGAACACACCATAGCCACTCCCTTCCTGCCTTGCCGTCTGACTCACCCACACCTGCCTGTAGGGTGGGGGCTGCCTCTGCCCTCTTCCCACTCCCCAATGCTTCCTGCCCATCCACCAGCTGCAGGGAAAATAGGAAGCAAAAGATGGACGCTCTGTCGCCAGTGTGCTGTGTGAGGCTGAGCAACCGCTCCCCGTCTCTGGGCCTGGGTTTCCATCTGTGAAATGCCGGGAGGGATGACAGTTCCCAAGGCTCCTCTTCCAGCCCGGGTGATTCTTGGCTTTTTCACATCTTTCTTTCCTACTCTAGAATCCTCACCACACGAGGGAAAGTCATGGGAATCAGAAGGAAAACTGGCCTTTACTACATGTGTTGAAAGCTACTATTTTTTATTCTGTTTTCTATTGTTTAATTGCTAGTTGTGACCTGTTACGGGAATTAAAAGGCCAACTGGAGATTACAGCCCACAGTATAAAACAGGGCTTTCATGTCTGATAGTCACACCTGCCTCCCGAGGCTCACCCACCGTGCCAGCCTCTGTGGACACAGCCTCCCGAGGCTCACCCACCGTGCCAGCCTCTGTGGACACAGCCTCCCGAGGCTCACCCACCGTGCCAGCCTCTGTGGACACAGGCTCCCGAGGCTCACCCACTGTGCCAGGCTCTATGGACACAGCAGGTGCTGCTTCTCTCCAGGGAGATGCTAAAGTCAAACTATTCAGGTTATTTTTGGTTTAAAAATTAAGGAGGAAATTATATTTTACCTGTAAGACACAGAGGGTCATGGGCCCTCTCTCAGTCTTTGCCAAGTGCATGGGAAGCCAGGGTGTGTCCTGAGGGGAGGGTGGTGCTCTGCAGGGCAGGTGGGGAGGAGGCAGCCTCACCTGTTAGGCTGCTTTAAAGTCACTGTTCGTGTCACAGCTCACTTTACCCAGATTGTTATCTAAGTATCAGTGTATTTCACTAAATTCATGTCAGGAAACAGATCAGTGGTTTCAAAAGATTTTTGCAAATAGACCGTGTTTTGTACAGAAGTAGAAGTGGATAATAAGAAACAATCGACTGGCCAGGCACAGTGGCTCACGCCCGTAATCCCAGCACTTTGGGAGGCTGAGGCAGGTGCATCCCTTAAGGTCAGGAGTTCGAGACCAGCCTGGCCAACATGGTGAAACCCCATCTGTACTAAAAATACAAAAGTTAGCTGGGCGTGGTGGTGCACACCTATAATCTCAGCTGCTCGGGAGGTTGAGGCTAGAGAATTGCTTGAACCAGGGAGGC